GGAAGATACCCAAAAACAGTTCAATATAATAGCCCTGAAAGAACAGTTTAGCTGTCATGTTTCTTTCTTTCTTTTATAACTTGTGCAGATGCTAAAGACAATGGAACCAGTGGCACATTTACAAAGAGAAGGTTATTAAATGTTAATTGTAATAAATAATACGAACACGCATGGGTCGATGAGGTCTTAGCGGAGCTCCATGGGCTCCATTGAGTAGTTCCAAAAAATATCCATACCCCTCCCCCTCCCCACGGATGGCACTTTGCTTTGCTTTGCTTTATTAGTATTATTTTTTTTAATAGATTGAAATCACATTTTCTGGTGTAAAATTTACGTTGCTTTTTATGTTGTTTTGTTTTTCTCTTTTTAATTCCAGGAAGAAGACAACTACCTAAGCTATGAAAGTTTTCCGATGTTGTGTTGCGATGTCGCCTCATCCTTCACTGCCATCCAAAAAGTATGTTTGCAAACAGACTTTTGACTGCTGCCGTGAATGCAAATGCATGTGCAACTGTATCGCCCAAAAATCGCACTCGGAACTACACTACAAGCTCCCAACACTAGCCTAATAATAAACCCACCGCGAAACCCTGAATATTGGTATTCAACGCTAAAATCAGGCTGTATGTGAATGCGACCATCTGAACTTTATTTTCTTCAAGTACAGTATAATTTCAAACAATCGCCTCTATGTGAGAGCTGTCAGGGTCCTGAATGATGACAGGGACTTTTAATTTCACTAGTTTTGCTCTTGGATATATATATTTTTTAATAATATGAGCCGCTTCTTTCTTTCTTTTCTTTTTTCTTTTAATATACCACAAGACACTTTTTGACAAAGTGACAGGAGTAGGGTACAGAACAATTTTTGTCATTTATGTAATACAACCTGCAAAATCAATAAATTTTCTTAAGTATATTTAACTGAATGTTGTTTTGGTCATTATTTAAGTTGCTATCCTTGCTTCCTTGCCATCTAAAATTAACCTTTCAGTAGCCTGCGTAACAAACTTTTCCGCTCGAGTTAATGTGCGAGAGCTGGGCTGAGTTTTCTCATAAGTGGAATGCTACTCAGGCTAACTGTTCAGTTTCTCTTGAAGCACTACGATAACTGTACAATTCGTATCATAAAAATTATTCTAAAACATTCAGTCTGAGTTCCTTAGCCTATCTTTATCTTCGTTTATATTGTTGTTTATTTAGCATCTTTAACTTTAACGAGGAACGTTTGCCGAGCCCTTTGGCTCTTTCCAACATTGCCCAGGAAGGGGCTTAAATGCCAATTAATAACTGTGCTGGCAGGACAAACTATATTAATGGAAGGAAAGAGAAGTGATACCGAGGGGTCAGTTTTACCCTAGGGGTACCTTCTATACACAGGAAACTTTTCGAAATTCCCAGTTGGGAATTAGATGGGAAAATTCCCAATAATTGGGAAAAAACTGAGACATGGAATTTCGCAATTGGGATATTTTTGTGAAGCTGTTGACTCCCAAGATGACATAACTGGGATTTTTTTGGGAAAAAAGTGCTGCTTGCTCCCTAATCCCAATATTGTGAATATCATGGGAATACTTTCCCATGTTATTCCCAACGTTGAGAATAACATGGGAATGGTATCCCATAATAATCCCAATGTTGAGAATAAGATGGGAATATTTTTCATAATATTCCCAAAGTTGAGAATAACATGGAAATGGTATCCCATACTATTCCCAAAATTGAGACTAATATGGGAATATTTTCCCATGTTATTCCCAACGTGGAGAATAACATGGGAATGGTATCCCATAATATTCCCAATGTTGAGAATAATATGGGAACACTTTTACATAATATTCCCAAAGTTGAGAATAACATGGGAATAGTATCTCATACTATTCCCAAAATTGAGACTAAAATGGGAATATTATAGGAATATGAGAATAACATGGGAATATTTTCCCATAATACTCTCAAAGTTGAGAATAACATGGGAATGGTATCCCATACTATTCCCAAAATTGAGACTAATATGGGAATATTTCCCATGTTATTCCCAACGTGGAGAATAACATGGGAATGGTATCCCATAATATTCCCAATGTTGAGAATAATATGGGAATATTTTTACAGAATATTCCCAAAGTTGAGAATAACATGGGAATGGTATCTCATACTATTCCCAAAATTGAGACTAAAATAGGAATATTTTCCCATAATATTCCCAAAGTTGAGAATAACATGGGAATATTTTCCCATAATATTCTCAAAGCTGAGAATAACATGGGAATATTTGTACATAATATTCCCAACGTTGAGAATAACATGGGAATAGTATCTCATTCTATTCCCAAAATTGAGACTAAGATGGGAATATTTTCCCATGTTATTCCCAACGTTGAGACTAATATGAGAATATTTTCCCATAATACTCTCAAAGTTGAGAATAACATGGGAATATTTTGCCATGATATTCCCAAAGTTGAGAATAACATGAGAATAGTATCCCATACTATTTCCAAAATTGAGAATAGCATAAGAATATTTTTCCATAATATTCCCAAAGTTGAGAATAGGATGGGGGAAAATATTTTCAATACCTATTGATGTTGTGAGTTAGTCTGGAAGGTTAACTATTATGTTGTTTGAATGAAATAATAGAAACGAGTTATTAAAATAACTGTTTTCTCATTTGGTCACCAAGTTTGTTTTTTAATTAATATCTTTGAGAAGCGAAGTAACCTGCCATTTTTTCAAGCAAGAGCGACCGCAAGAAGGAGAAAAGTGTTGTTTCGTTTATGCAGGAGAAGAATATATTATTTACAGCCAAACACAGTTGGACGACATTTACGCATGGGCAGACCATTATTTATAGGCAGTTATTGGCTGGTCACGTGCGTGGTGGGCTTTCGGCCAATGAAAAGGAAGAAAAATTTGCATTGAATGATAATGTGATTTATAAAAAGAAAAGTGATTTTCCATGTTTCTTCTAAACTTAGTCTGAAAGCTGTACCTTGGTATGTTCACGATACATACATTTAAACAGGTATTTGTCCTTGATATGTTGCAGATTGATATGTTTTCATCTCTAAATCGACCACAATATTAATATTAACCAATTTTGCCTTTTTATTTTACATTTATCAGTTGTTGCACACTGGGTACATACTCTATACTGGATACAAAGTAGCCACAGAAAAATGTTATAACAGTACAAATTCATAGATTGAACTGACAACTTTATAATGGTCCTTTAGTGTCTTAATGTCAGACCCGCAGGTTTAACCACCAACTTTTAACTTAACTTAGTCTTGGAACAGTGAATTCCCAGTGTAGTAAACTCAAACCCAAAAAGTGAAAATGTTCAGAATTTTGTCTACAAATGAGGCGTGGTGGTGAAATTAGCATGACTGATGTCAACAGTCATATGGGCCATTATTTATATTTCTTTGCCAGCAATTTGCACTAATCCAGCTACCAGTTGCAACGCCAATGATGGAATCAAATGAGACTGTGTTTCTTGCCAATCTTCCAAAAGTTTCACGTACAAACTTATTGGGATCGCTTCGTTTCTCAACGTAAAAGTACACATCAACTTCATTCCTATCCTTATTGATGCTGACTACTTTACCATGCCAAACATCCACAGGCTCTTCCCCTTGAATAAGTAGCATGTCATCTTGTTCAGGATACACAGGAACAACAAGTTCATAAGGCAGTGTTCTCAATTTCTCAAATAGTCAACCACAGTTGCCACATTATTTCCACAGTCATAAAGCATGACTTTTCTCTGAATGCTGTCTGTTAAAAAGAACACATTGTCACCACCAGCAAGCAGTTGGACTTTTGGGAAACCATTTAAAGTGTTAAAAACGGGTAGTCCAAAATCATCAAGGTGAAAGGGCTTCACAGTACCTTCACAAATTAGTTGACAGCCTTGTTCTTTGCACCGAATTGACAAAAACCTGTCTACTGAGACCACTGCATCAGTGCCACTTACCAGTGCAATAATGTTATTACTTCTTGACAGAACTGTACCTTCATATCCAAGGTTTGACACAAAACACTTCTTGGTAATTGGACACACCCTTGAAACTTCATTTTGAGTAAGTGAAAGACATGATGCAATCTTCTCATGATCAGAGTTACTGAGTTCCACAACTCTACTAGTTGTCCCAATTAACAATGAGTGGCGAGCATCTTTGCGGCATGCTACTCTTGCCTTTTCTACAGAACTCACTATTCCCTACAAGAAAGTGAAACAAAAATGAGGGTAATAAAAAATAACTTACTAGTTTAAAACAACATGGCCATGTTATTTGCAATGTAAATGTAGGTGCCTAAGATTGTTAATTCGTTTGTAAGAAGAAAAGGTAGGGCAAAGGATAGGGAGGGTGAGAGAAAACTGTTATGTAGAATACATGTAGATACATTTACATAAGTATACAGTGGCTGTTTGTGCAGGGCTGGTAAACCCATGAATTTCACACTCATTCCTTGATTTATTTTATATTTGTTATCAGCTGACTAGATAACATTAGTAATAGGGCTTGCTCTAAGACTTAATTTTAGAAAAAATCATCTATTGTTTTTTTGAAAAAGTAAAAGAACACTCCTGTTTTAGTAGATAAACTTCCCTTGAATCTCTATGGCTTGAAGAAAATTGGAAAGTCATAAACTAAAACGGTACTTGGGTCACAAATAAACTAAAGAAATAAATTTCCTACATGACAACTATTCTACGGTACATAAACCAACATGGATATTTTGCTGTTTTGGAACAATATATATCACATTTTTTGGATTTCAAGGTTTAATTGTTCATTTCCATCCACTTCCTCATTTTTAACCAAAAAATTAATATAATATTAACCCTTTAAGTCCCAGTAGTGATCAACATCAATTTTCTCCTAACGACATCCATACATTGGCAAGAGAAAAGGTTATGAGAGTTAATAAACTGATGTTTGTTTCTGATGCCAATGTTCCCTTTCCCCCCAGTGGGACAACAGTTTTCTGCACATGCCCTCACTCCGAAACCAGTTCTTAACCTTTGCATTCAAACCAAGATAGTAGTACTTAATATATCCTTTCTTACCACAATGAGAACAAAGCTCATCCTTGCTTTGCATGATGCTCCATTTGCGGCTGTACTCGTACTTTGTGTGGCTTTTACCACTTCGAGTGAATGTTTTAATCTCTCTGCAAATGCAAATGTAATATTCTTTAACATCCTCAAAACCCTCTTCTTTTAGAAGCGTTTGAACTTCACTCCACTTCTTCGGCCACAAGGCACTAAGAATGTCCACATCAAAGTCTTCTTCAACAGAAGTAAGCAGCATAGTTTTTCCGTAGTCAAGAATGTCTTCAAATGTTTTTATTGAAACCCCACTGTCTTCCATAATAGCCATTGCATTGAGCACTGCCTTAACAACAATTTTTTTCAGGGGATTGGTAATTTCTTCTTGTGTCACAGTCACAGGCTCAGCAGTGCAACTGTTGGAATCCAAAGAGTCACTTCTTGACGGACAATTTGGAACAGTTCCTACAACACTAGGTAACTCATTCCACTCGTCATTTTCCTGCTGAATATCCATGTCCTCCGCACCACAAACTGATTCTTGCTCTTCCTGTGGCAACGATCGTGATGTGTTCCAGAACGTACATGTAGAAGAAATGCACACATCTCTCCAGTGACGCAATTCTGTACTCCTATGCACTGCCCTTCCCTGGCAATTCCAGCACTTGCAGTGAACATGTATAAAAGGTTTTTCATCACAGTTACAAGAGGAAATTTCATCTCTCGACCCCGGAATCCGATCTGCCGCCATTTTACGGGGCAATGTCAGCAATTCAAACAGTCCAGCGGACATCTCCATCCAAAAATAATCATATATGAAGTACCTACCCATCCGAATCTGAATTCAGCCAATGGAGTTTAAGCAAAGAACGAAATCGCTCTACGGCGGGAAAATTATCCAATAGGAAGTGTCGTTATGTAAGCAAATGAAGCTTAAGTTTTGGCGCCGTTTCGCTTTCGCTCTTTACGCTCGTGTTGTTTAACAGGGCATGGCGAGTTCTGTAAGTACACTTGATGGAGAAAACAAAACTGTCGAAGAAACGACAGAAGAGTCCTTCTTGCAGAAGATACAGGCAAAATTCGGCGACGGGCAATATGTACTTTATTTCAGCTTTATTAAGTGCCTTAATCCACTTTTATTCGCTGAAAGTCTCGAACTTGCATCCACTGAGATTAAAATTAAAAGCGCAGCAATTCGCCGCAGGTAAGACTTATCATTACTCTGGAGGGACTTAAATTTCATTTATGTGAATGAAGTTTGGCTAGATTGCAGAATACCCGGCCCACGAAATATCTACCATAAAAAACTTGCTCCCGCAGTGCCGCAGTGCCGCAGTCCGTGTTATTAACACAAAAAACTTGCTCCCGCAGTGCCTCAGTGCCGCTGTCCTCAAAATTAACTTATCCGGCTTCCTTTGCTTAATCGAGCGCATCGATGGCTTTTAACGTTGAACAACAAGTCGAACAGAAATAAATTAATTTTGTTCTATCAAGCACAAATATATTACTTTCGTTTTATCTAGAAACATGATGCAAACACACTTTCGAACGCGGCAGATTGTATATTTGATTGACCCCAAATACACGCGCTCGAGTCGGGTTTTCCTGCAGTTACTACACACTAAATCGCTTGGGCCAAAACAAACTCTACACACATAAATTATACCTCGTTCTTTTATCCAGTTGACCCCAAATACACGCTCTCGAAACAAGCACTCAACTCCGAAAGCAACTGCAAACACATGAATGAACCTCTTTCAATTTGTTTTTGTTACGCCGAAACATGCGGGTTAGCCCGAACTTTCCTAATTTGGATTGTTCAGGGGTGTTGCGTGACCAGCCTCGCTGTCACGGACATGATCGTGATCTTTCCACACGACAAAGACTAAACATCGCCTTTTCAATTTGTTTTATTGAGCTATCCTATTGAATACAAATTATAGACACCGCATTGTATCCACAAATTTTAAAACATGAAATAAGCTATAACTTTTCGCCAAGTCTGTAATATTGGACAAATGCCTCAGACCTCAACTGAATTATACTCACAACCAACAAATTTAGTGAAAATTCCAACACTTCTTTTATCCTGTGACGCGGGTAACAGTTCTATAATTTTACATCTTAATTTACTGGATAAATTTTCTTCACATCTCGTAAAAACATCTCAAATAAGTCATTGTCTTTGTTCCTATAGCGCCACATGAATTCGGCTAAATATGAAGAGAAATGGTGCTTCCTTACACCAAATGGAGGCATTTTAACTTTAGCGTGTCGCCAGTGCCCTTCCATTTTGTTTGTGCTGTCGCCCTCATCATTAACAAATTCAATCGAATGATTCACAGTGCGATGAGTGTACCCATGTTTCTCTAGGTTGCAGTACGCCTTCCAACAGTCCGAGATTATTGTCGTTCCTGGTTTGATCCACTTCTTTATAATCGGCAACAGTGTTTGTTCGTCTCTTTTTTCAAATTATACCTCGTTCTTTTATCCAGTTGACCCCAAATACACGCTCTCGAAACAAGCACTCAACTCCGAAAGCAACTGCAAACACATGAATGAACCTCTTTCAATTTGTTTTTGTTACGCCGAAACATGCGGGTTAGCCCGAACTTTCCTAATTTGGATTGTTCAGGGGTGTTGCGTGACCAGCCTCGCTGTCACGGACATGATCGTGATCTTTCCACACGACAAAGACTAAACATCGCCTTTTCAATTTGTTTTATTGAGCTATCCTATTGAATACAAATTATAGACACCGCATTGTATCCACAAATTTTAAAACATGAAATAAGCTATAACTTTTCGCCAAGTCTGTAATATTGGACAAATGCCTCAGACCTCAACTGAATTATACTCACAACCAACAAATTTAGTGAAAATTCCAACACTTCTTTTATCCTGTGACGCGGGTAACAGTTCTATAATTTTACATCTTAATTTACTGGATAAATTTTCTTCACATCTCGTAAAAACATCTCAAATAAGTCATTGTCTTTGTTCCTATAGCGCCACATGAATTCGGCTAAATATGAAGAGAAATGGTGCTTCCTTACACCAAATGGAGGCATTTTAACTTTAGCGTGTCGCCAGTGCCCTTCCATTTTGTTTGTGCTGTCGCCCTCATCATTAACAAATTCAATCGAATGATTCACAGTGCGATGAGTGTACCCATGTTTCTCTAGGTTGCAGTACGCCTTCCAACAGTCCGAGATTATTGTCGTTCCTGGTTTGATCCACTTCTTTATAATCGGCAACAGTGTTTGTTCGTCTCTTTTTTCAACAGCTATGAGAAAGCATTTCCTGCTGTCATTCTCGATCCCGCCAAAGACCCATTGCCCTTCCACATGATGCCCGCGATGATACTTTCGCTTTCCAAATTTGCTCTCATCAATCTGCACTACTTTGCCCTCACCACCGATGCTCTCACTATCCTCCATTAACGATATTTCGCATACTTCACGACAAAAACTGTCCCAGTCTACTCCTGTGTGTGTTGCTAGTCCAAGCTCGTGTCTTATTTGGGCCTGATCCAATTCTTGGGTCCACCAGTAACTGTATTTCAAAATCTCTTCAAGTGTCATTTTGCTCTGTGCAAACCAGCTTCCTGCTCTTATCGACATCTCCACCTTGTGTCTTTTGCCATCGACGCGTCGTCTGCACTCCCATTTTAAACCATCGGAACGATCTTCACAATAAACAAGTTTAAGGTCATCACCACATACCGAGCAAACTCGCGACTTGGCTAGCAATCCTTCCTCCATCAACCAATCAATCAGCCTATCTTTATCGTGCAGTTTAACGATCAGGACATCGTAACGCCATTTTCTGTCTGCTTTCCTTTCATCACGCGCATAACTTCCTTTTCCTAGTCCACTTTGTGTTGCTTGGTCTTTTTTCGGGGCTTCGCCTGGTGTTTGTGTGCTACAACTGCTTTGAACCACTTTTTTAGAACCTATTGCGACTTGCGTTCCCTTTTCATTCATTTTAGTGCAACAACTAGCTGGATGACTAATACTCTTACTTAATCGGCTACTAATTACCTCGTTTAACACCCAAATCTTACCACTGCCAAATCTTTTAACATGCAAATTATACACAATTTCACACCCGTAATTTAAAATCACCTCTTAACAATACCAAAGTTTGCTTGCCGCATCACACATTACCTTCTTTATTATAACGTTTGTCTTGACTTATAGAACTAAGCGTCCACAATATGTTAAGCTACTCTTCGTTCATTTTAAACATACCGACAAATAACATAAACTTTCTTTTGCATATATAACTATTATTACATCCTCGCGCGAATAACTTCCGAAATTATTCCCTTAAGTTCTTTTTAAATACAACCACGAGCACACAATTAATTTTCCCACATTTAACTTTTCATTTTCAAATGACACATTATTCAACTGGCGCTTGCCGTACTATTGGTCAATTATAGTACTGTCGGCATCTATCAATGACACAACTTAACATTCACATTTCAGTTGGCGTCTACATTTGACACATTCGTCAGTTGCCTTCGATCACTCACGATGTATACGCTCTCCAAACTAAACAAACAAAACGAACAAACTTGGGTCAATCTCCAAAAACGGCTCAACGAAGTTCAATTCGAGTACAAGAATTTGTTTGCTAACAGTGACGTTCACAACTTTGTAAAAAACAAGGCCGTGTCGGTAGGAAGTTGCGAAGGGTATTTTATACCTTCACTGCTAACTACAACTGCTTACCTCCTGGCTACAAACCAATCACGCGTGCAAACTTTGAGGCAGCATCAGCCCCTCAATATTTACACCATCTTTGTTGGATACCCAGGAACAGGTAAATATACGCTACCTACACTTCAAATCAGTTTATTTTTATAAACCAAACCAAACGATTGTTTTTTATTATTATTCTCCACGATTCACAATGTAATAACACAATTCGTATTTCTTGTTTCAGGAAAATCGTCCGCCATTCAACACGCCGCGCAAGACCCCCTCGAACAGTTGGAGTTGACTTCGACCATAATCAGTAAAGCCACGTCATCCGGGCTTGTGAAACAAGTGTCAAGTCAAAATCAAGGCTTCATGCTGTCACCAGAAATCTTTGACACCCTTAACAAGTTGATGAAGTCGGACGAGGACAACGGCACCGGCGACGTTCAACTCCTTTGCAAGCTGTTTTCTGGCGAGCGATGTACGTACAGTTACTCAACGCAAGAAACAAGAGTCATCCCAGCCGACACGCCGTTCAGCATCTTAGGAGCCACCCAACTACTGAACGCCGCAAAACTAATCGCAAAGATGGACCATGGCCATGGTTTGGTGGACAGGTTCTTATTCCCTATTCCCCTGGCGTTCAGGCCCACGCTGACTGAAATGGAGACGGCGGCCGAGTACCTGTCCACTGAAGTTGTGGAGAACTTCGAAGAGTGCTTTAGAAACATCAACGACAACGGTCAAATACATTACAGCTTCGACACCAGCGCCCGAGAACTACTCAGAGAGAACATTGATCAGTTCGTTAGCGATGTCAACGACGCCATAAGAGAGGGAAAAGTTCCACCCAAGTCCAAACTGCCTGAGCTAGTTCCTAGAGTGGCAACTGCACTTCACGTATTTAATCACACGATGACTGAACTACTCGCCGGAGTTCCACCGACCACTCCACCAACACAGATAACCAAATCTACCCTGGAAAAGGCGACACAATTTGTGCAACATCTAGAAAGCCAGAAGGACATTCTGTGCCAGGTAAGTACCATTTAAAAACATTTAAATCGTTTACTTTACATCGATCACTTAGTAATTATCTTACAAAGAAACGTCTAATTTTCATTTTACAAATGCGTACTTATGTAACCCTGAACACGGTTATTCTTTAATTTCAGTTCTTAAAAGAACTCACAAACGCCACATGTGACAAAACCGTGGAACAGCCATCGCTTCAAACCATTAAAGACCAAGTACTCATGGCACCCGGACCCGTGGTCAGTTATAGAAGTTTCCAGAAAGGTAAAAGATCAGCAAAAGCCATTGCAGAAGCCGAGTACACTAGGGCAACCGAATCATTAAAAGAAGACGGCTTCGGGCGAATAGTAGAATTCAACGTCCCAAGAGCACGTCGCAAATGTAAAGTCTTTATCAAGTCTGCGCCAGAGCCTTGGCCAAACAACACCACAATCAGCGACTTCGCCTTCCGCACTGCACTTGCAAGGCCAATTCATAGTGGCATTACCCCGGCAATGCGGGAGTATTTGCAAAACAATGAGAACATTCAGCTATAGATTTCATTGAACTGCGTATTCAGATCTGTCTTTTGAGCCTTAGCACTCATTGAACTGCGTATTCAGATCTATATAAATCGTTAAGTAATAAATATCCAAGTTTTAAAACGAAAGAACGCTAAATGAATTTTAAACGCAATAGGACGTTAGATAAAATTATTAAGAAGATGTATAATTCGAAACTTGTTTTTTTTTAGCGGGAGCAGTCTTTTAACAGCTTAGACTTAGTTGACTACGGCACTGCGGCACTGCGGGAGCAGTCTTTTAACAGCTTAGACTTAGTTGTTCCTCGACTACGGCACCGCGGCACTGCGGGAGCAGTCTTTTAACAGCTTAGACTTAGTTGTTCCTCGACTACGGCACTGCGGCACTGCGGGAGCAGTCTTTTAACAGCTTAGACTTAGTTGTTCATCGACTACGGCACCGCGGCACTGCGGGAGCAGTCTTTTAACAGCTTAGACTTAGTTGTTCCTCGACTACGGCACCGCGGCACTGCGGGCGCAGTCCTTAGTTATTCGTGGAGTACGGCTTAGACTTAGTTGTTCATCTTAGACTTAGATATTTGTGGACTACGGCACTGCGGGAGCAAGAATTTAGTGCCATGACAAGTGGGCCGGGTATTCTGCAATCGCTCCTGAAGTTTACTTCTACGAAGCATATTATCAACCAGAAGTAACAAGCAAGCTTCAAGAGCAAACGCGGGTTCTTACTTTTCCTTATCCAGATGAAGCACATGTTGCTACGGTAATGGCGTAAATGTGCGATCCCGTGAAATTCAAAATCCGTGAATGAAAGCCAGTGCATGCACATTAAAATTTATGGGGAATTTAAGCTTTAAGTCCGAATGGCTTAATGCAGTCGCTGTGTTTTCAGCTTAATTCAAGCTAGAGTACTCCATTTGTGATTGATTTTCTCTTGTCACGCTTATTTAGAGGAGGACATCATCGATGAAGCGTCAGTTAAAGACCTCTCTCAAAGGGAAGCAGATGCACCAATATTTTCAAAACTACATATAAGTTATGGTAAAGCAGTTACATTCAAAAAGGAATTTGGAATGAATGCATCAAAGTCGAGACCAAGTTCTCCGCCTTCAGCAGTCAAACCTACAATGGCTGACATTGCCACTTTTACCCCAGAGTTGAGACGTCTATATTTGTCAAAGTAAGTTCTTGTGCAATTGTGGCAACATTTAGAGCAACTTTATAAAGCCTGGAATCCCAAGTTTGAAGTAATTTTAGGGATTCTAATTTTGAGCCCCCTTATCCCCAGGAGAGAAGGCTAGGGGACATTGTTTCATTTGAAGCTAAAAGGATTTGCAGTTTTATTAGAGATGAGGGTTTTGATGGATAGCTGGGGGGTATTTGTTACATATTCTGATTTTTGGGGGGAAATGAACATTAAGTTTCTGCACAAGATCAGCCAGCCATGTCAGTCTATAACAAGACAAGAAATGGGCTGTGATGTGACGTTTTACAAATTCAGTGCCATTTGTGGCCCAACTTGACAATATTTCTGGACAATGAATACCAATTTAACATATGAAGTGACTAGCATAATCAGGTGTAAATATCTTATTTATATATGATGGGGCTCAGAACTGAGAGGGTTGTCATTGAAAGCAGTTATCAGAATAAGTACACACAATTTTTCTCCCCCGTTTTTTCCCTTGTTATACAAATGACACAATGAAAAGGGACACTGACCAGATTGAAAGTAGGTTTATTTTTACCAGATTTGTCTATAAAAACCGGTTAACTATTTGTTTAAAATTCAATGATTTAAAGATTATACTACTTCTTTAAAATTAAATTATTTGTTGCAGACGAAAGATGATTGGTACAAAAGCAACGGAGAAGTGGGGCACGAAATTTCCAAAATTTAACACCCCGCAAGCCAAGCTGGAACTGAGTGAGTTCTCGGCACAGCTAGAACCAGTTTGTGGTATCCCTGATGTCGGTTTTAATGCAGAAGGAATTGCTAAGCACATTCAAAACTTTTGCAATGAACAACGACGTTACCAAAAGTTAAAAACTTCAAACTCAAAGGTAAATGCGCTACCCTTATGAATTTTTTTTGCTGGTTCATGCTTAGTATTTTGCCGCAACAATCACTTGTCACAATATAGGATGAAATTTTACTCATTGACCTGTCATCAGAAAATAACATTGTATGCTTCCAAAATGTATCCATACACACCCTAAGAAATTAAAGATTAAAAAGTTGAGTTATGGACAAGAGGTTTAAAAGTTAAATGCATTAAGCTTAAAGTGAAATTTGTTTGGAGAGTGAGAGTTGCTGATGTTCATGTATATGGATTGATATCTTTCAGCTGAAAACAATCACTTAATTGATATTTATTACAAAAGTTATATTAATTTGTAACAGGACCCTGTCACAAAGGTTACTGCAGAAGAGGAACACGTGAAAATTAAGAAGAAGAAAAAAAGGAACTTGAAGGAATTGCATACACACAAGGTTAGTACACATGCTTAGTTATTATTTATTGCTTGATAAATATTCTAAGACTGCCCATCCCTGTTGGACCCTTAAATTTTTTAGGTTACCGTAAGTGATGTAGTGAGCTGATAGCATGTTGGGCTTTCAGTTAGAAGACCCAAGGTTCTAGCTTGGTCCCTGCATGGCATGCCCAGTGGTTAAAGACAAGTTAAGAAACCTTACTCCAAAATGTCCCGTGCGGTTGTCCTTACCTTGCTAAAATTAATTAATCATGCACACAAGGCATTTGATGTATGACTTGTACTTTCAAATGAGAATGAGAGATATTTCAAAAAATTATTTTAACAAAAATTAATCAGTGTGCTCTTTAAAATATTAAAAGACAAAGATGATTACCTTGATGCAACCATGTTAATCCAAGAAATAATACTGCAAAATCCTAAACCTTAACTTCTTCACAACTTGCATTTAACAGATTTGTCTTTCTTGATTTTGACTTTTTTAAAACATATTGTTTTTTTCTTTTCTCTTTGTTTTTTACTAACAGGTGATAATTTATCTGTTTTGTTAAATAATTAATTTGGCATGCCACGACTAGAGTTTTTGGCTAACTGCATGCCAAGAAATTGTGAACAATATTATGGTACTGAATGTTTTGTCAAGTGGATAAGAGTTAATTTCCAACCCAGTTACCATTAACTGTGTGATTGTGTTCTTTCTTATGACCAGGATCTCAGTGAAACTGATGAATCAGATGGTGAGAAATGTGACAATAAATCAGTATCCTCAAATAAAAGTGGAGAACAAGATGATCTTAGCACTGGGCATGACACGGAGATTTTGAATGAGTCAAGTGATGAACATGAGACTCCAAAAGCATCGGTGGACAAAAAAGAATGCACACTTGACTCGTGGCCATTGAAGACAAATCAGGTCATTGTCAAAGCAGTTTTTAGTAGACTTATTTCAAGAGATGATGCAGCTGGTGTTCTCAAGAAAAAGTTCAGTGTGCAACAAAAAAATTTGACAGCCTTGTCTCCTATTCAAGTCTTGGGCGTCTTGGCCAAGAAACTGGTTAACAGTGGATATTGTACAATTTCTAATATGGAGAACATCAACTCTTTGAAAATGAGTGATCTCTCAGTCTCAAAGGAAATTGAACTGTAGCTAACTTTCTTCAGTGTGCAAACAATTATTGCAATTAAAGCCAGTTAACTGTGCATTGAGAATGTTTACTCAGACTTTCTACTATGAACTATTATGAACTTTATTTGTAGTTGACTTGATGTTAATAGTTAAATAATTATTGTTCTTGTTACCTGCATGTTTATTGCATGCTACTTGGCCACTAAAAGTTATATTTACCACAATGGCCAGGTCCATCAATCCTATAGTGCACAATACAGGTGTATGAGCCGAATTGTTACTCTTAGCTTCTAACACTAGTGATGACAGAGGACAATAATATTGGTACTTTGTTGATGTTCAAATTTTAAGCACAGTGCTTTTTGTTTGACAATTTGTTACTGTCAAGAAAGCTGTTTATTAAAATGTTGAAATTTGTTGCTTAAACCTGAGACTATCTGGTGACAAGTAAATCTCAAAAAGGGAAATTTTGAAACAATGTAATCTCGACTTTTAGGTAATTTTAAGGGGGGAATTGTGGAAACTTAATCATGCAATTTAAAAATCCCTGCCCTCTGGGAAAAATTTGTGTTATTGTCAATTTGAAACCAGCCAAATCCCATCTTTGGAGTAAATTTGAGACAATAAAATCCCTAATATTAGGAACATATAGAGACAGAAAAATCCCAGTATTTGGGAAAGTAAGATACCATAAAAATCCCACTATTGGGGGAATTTTGGGATAGCAAGATTCCGGTCTTGGGAAAATTTGGAGACAAAGACATCCCACTATTGGGAATATTTAGTGTTTCGAAATCCCAGTATTGGGGAAAAATAGAGACAATGAATCCCCACTATTGGGGATAATTTGGGGCAATAAAATCCCTGTATTGGGGTAATTTAGTGACAGCAAAATCCATCATAGGGGTATATTTGAGACAATAAAATCCCATTATTGTGAAACAATGGGGACTGTGAAATCCCAACAATGGGAAAAAACTGAGAAAACAAAATCACAGCATTGGGAATTATCTGGTACAAGGAAATCCCACTACTGGGAATAACTGGGGTCATGAAAATCCCATTACTGGGAATATTTTGGGTTTCTTCTGTCCCATGAATGGGTATTGTTGCATTTTCCCAAACTGGGATATTCCTGGAAAAATCCAATAAAACCCCATGAATTTCACATATTTTCCCCTTTTTTTCCCCAACTGGGAATTTCAAAAAGTTTCCTGTGATATGACTAGTGGGCGGGGACGCCCGTCAGGAAATTGGAATTAAACCCCTAAATGAGATCCACCTGGGTGTGTACTAAACTTTATTGATCCCAAAAAGACAGCATTCTAAAACAGAAAAGCACGATAAGAGCTATAGAAAATTAAATTGCAATATTGAGTTTTCAAAGATTGCTTTATCTTTTTTTTCTTCCTCTCTTCTGTTCTCTTATTATAAATACTTTCAGTTTCTTTAAGCTTAACCTGCATGGGTAATCACATTCGCTTTCCGTCCTGAAACTAATTCCTACGTGATACTAAAAACTGCAGTTTGGACCTCTAAACGAAATGGCGTAATGTCTGACAGTCAACCATAGAATTTGTGGCTGTACCCCTTGCATCGGCCCAAGGAGTTGTCTAGCTAAATATATGCCCGTGAAATACAAACATTTTACTTCTTGAGTTTCCTTTTGCTTTGTTCTCCTCTTCGTCGTCTGGGGGCAACTAGTTTGCCGCCATGTATTTTTTTTGTCCCATTTGAATCCCTCGACTCGCATGGTGTTAAGAAACTTTGGGATCAGAATTCCACCAAGTCAAGTTACCTTATATCAGACTGTGTGTATATGGTTGCTCCATTTCTTTCTACTTGGTGGGAATAGCATCGCAAGCAAAAGCCCATGAACGAACAGCGACCTCCGAAGCTCAAGACAACTCGAGGAAAATACTGAAGACAAGACAGAAGCCGGCGTAAAAAATCCTCGAACACTCTGTTTAACATTGTGATCGTACTACTCTCGCCAATGGTCTTTTGTAATAACAACCCGTTCGAATTCGGATTTTTCGCTCGCCATGCGGAGCGATGAAAGACGGTTGAAACTCAGTTGCTGTATTGTATGATCTCGGATTAATGCGACAATTCAAGGTTTCCATCGTGATGAGGAATTAATGCTCAAAGCTCGTCGGTTGTTTGCTAATCATTCACCGTGTTAATCATCTTCGAAAACATGGTATTATTAAAATTCTAATTTTTAGTTCTTTCATTGAGATTAATCACATCAATGTGATCTTTTTTGCAATAATTATAACAAGCGGCTAGGAGCAATTTGCGTAGGGTGCTTTACGCGCGAGTTTGATCAGATAATTTATTCCTCGAGCCCGAATGGGCTCTGAGTCGATAGCCCATGAGGCTGAAGGCCGAATGGGCTATTGACTCAGAGGCCATGAGGGCGAGAGGAATAATTGTTTTAGTAAAATCCAACTAGTTGGTGAAAAATATCGAGAATAAAAAAAAAAATAGCTAGTTAAAGCTAGACTTTAATCCTTTTTGCCGCCAAAGAGCCCGCCCTTTTCGCTACTAGGGGGCTATAACATATAGCCTAGTAGTAGCTCAACCAATCAGAAACCAGCATTGATAATAGACCACTAGATGGATTTTACTAATTACAGATTTCCCACAAATGTGGTACCTATTCTGCAGCTTATTTACTGGAGAATGTGATTTTGGTGTTGTCCCGGGGTGGGGCGTTTGTACCCCATTTTTTAAGCCCACCGTGCGGCATTTGTATGAACGCCTGGCCCCACTGCGGGGCATTTGCCGCTTTTCCAAAACAAAATGACAAATGCCTAACAAATGTCAGGGGAAGGGGAATGGGCACGCTTGGAATTAACTAAGCCATTATATTAATAAACTCTTCCAATCGCCAGTGGTTTGGCATAACGGTTCTACGCCAGATAGCGAACAGAAAACACATAAGAAAGAAATGGACAGAATTCTGGTGGTAGGGAAGCGCTTACAGTCAAACCCGGAAAAACCGTGAACAACAGAAATATTTCTGAAATATTGTGTTGCAAGAAAAAAGCCAATCTGGCGTGAGAAAACTAAGAACGCTTTGGGAGACAAGATTGAGTGGTACCGGGGGTAGCCACCTGGACAGGAGTCCTGGCAAAAGTCTCCGGGGGTGAGGCTCATATCCCCTATATATCGAACTAAAGGGGAATCAGGAGGGGTGGCCCTCCTGGGTGGAGTACAGATCAGGTGGGACTGGGGGTCCCACCTGATTTATAAGCCACCCCTCCTCAACTAGTGTAACCCTCTGATAAGCCCCTCTCCCTTTGAGTGATCAACAACGATTTTCTCCTAACAACATAACTACATCGTCAAAAGGAAAAGTTATGAGAATTATCAAAAAGATCACAATCAAGGAAATGTTTTGATCTTTCAACAAATTATTCTCTAAGAAAATGTATGGAGGTTAATCTGGAAAATTTGTTTGTTGCTATTGGTTACACTTCTCCCCCCCAACTAGCAAGACCCCCCAACTAGTAAGACCCCTAATATTATTGTCACAGAGTGATTTGTTTCACAGCAAAAATATAATTTTCAGCAGCATGTGTTGGAACCAATGATTACAATTCCCATGAACTAGTCACAAAACTAGAAACTAATCACCACTGTTGATTGTATTTTATTTTTTCCACACTGCACCTGATTGGTTTGTTCCTTCCGACACAATAACATTCCAACAATGCTTTCAAAACAGCCTTCTAATAATTTATTATTTCTTGCCTGTAGAGTTCTCAAAATAAAATGTTCAGTGTGTGATAATCAACTGATAAAACAAGTTTGTAAAATTTAAACCACGTATTATTTAAAAATTGATTTGCTTTAGTTTCTCAGAATTACGGCTCATGCAATCCAGAATAAATTACCAAAGGCTTGCTGCTCCAGTCTTTATACATAATAGCATCATTCCCACCCAGCCCTTGAATATGCCTGAAGAAAATAAATAAGCAATGGTAACAGCAGCATGCAGTAATAAATAATCAGAAGCTGAAATTTGACCTTGTTCATATTTGGGCATTGTGACAGACTATATATTTTTTCTCTTGTGACTTCAAATTAGGACGAAAGTAGTAAATGATATCTACCGTATTTATTCGAAAAGCGCCCAACCTCGAATTAGCGCCCACCTCGAATAAACGCCCATCCTAAAGGCAGAAAAAGTTAATAAGCGCCCAGCCTCGAATAAGAGCCCACCCCACCCCACCCCACCCCACCTCCCTCTCGATCCCACTCAAACTCAATAAAGTACCCACCCCCACCTCACCCACTTTCCCCCCACCCGCCCCCCCCCAAAAAAAATTGAATAAGTTTTAATAAGAGACTTCCCCGAAGACGGAGATTTCTTCAGAGTATTTTACAGAAACCTTGCTTTGTTACATCTTCGCGTTTTGTTATTACTATTTATTGTTTTGTTGCAAAATAAATTAACGTAATACACTTGCTGAAAATGTTGAAAATTTAATAAGCGCCCACCCTTGAATAAGCGCCCACCTCGAATAAGCGCCCACTCTCAAAGTCCAAAAATTTAATAAGCGCCCATGGCGGTTTATCGAATAAATACGGTACACTATGATTTTTTTTTAATAGAACTGAATTAGTTGAAGGATTGTCTGTAGATGTGAATTTTTGTCCTCAACCTCAATCAATGTCTGATCAGAATGTGATTCCAATATTTCAAACACCACTTTTGTATAACTTGTGTCATTGAATTGTAAATAATTTTATATAGTATTGTTATCACAACAGTATTAGTATTTACAGTGTAATTGCATTGGAAATATTGACATTATAGTTAAAAGATAAACTTCTGGTTGACCAGCTCTACTGAATCAACTAACCATACAGCAGGTGCTGTGAGTCACATCACTGCACCAGAAAGGCTGCAGCATCAGGTTATGGCTAGTTAGCCATCCATGACAGCTAGGTATATGCGTTCCAAAATATTGCTACAATTTGGACAAACACGGTGCTGAATGGGAACA